CTGGTGTCATTCGATACCAGTAATGCTCCGCAGATGATAAGAGAGTTGCAGGTGTCTCAGATCATTAAACCGAAGGAGCCAAGTCTCACTACCATAGAACAGAACGGCCCTCACTGTGGCCTTGTATTCCTGGCCTTTCAGACGGAGGGAAACTCCCTTCTGTCGCCAAAGATGACGCAGGTTCAAGAACGCAGCTCTGGCCTTTGCAATGCGTGAGCTCACGTCAGTTTCTATGCGCCCATCGTTGCTGATGCAGCTGCCAAGATAAGTGAATTGATCAACCACCTCGAGTTCCTCGTTAGCAAGGGTCAAGGGCTCATCAAGTGGTTGGCGGTCTTGCAGCAACACTGCATTTTGAAGGTAACAAGCGCATACCAAATAATGGAACCACTCCAGACAGGTTATTCAGGGTTGGTTGTGCCACCGCAACATCATCGAAAAGCAAGAAGATATCGTCCGCATAATCAAGATCAACTAATCTTTCACCAAAAAGCACTTCAACGCCTGCATCGTGAGATTCCGCAAGGGAGCACTCCAAGACAGAGTCCACGACGAAATTGAACAAAAATGGGGAAAGCGAACAACCCTAATGAACGCCACTTGGGGTCGGAGCTATTCGATAGGCCACCGTAGACCCTGACGCGACCTGTATTGTTCGAGTATAGAGCACGGAAGATGTTCACATACTTCGTGGGAACACCTTTCGAACGGAATCGAACGCACTCTTCAAAACGAGAAACACAGCTATTGTCGGTCCGCGGTATGCATGGCGCTGCTCTAGCACCAGCCGCAGAGTGAATATTTGGTCTATACAGCCACATGCAAGGAGGAAACCTGCCTGCTCTTCTCTAATACGAGATCCCTGTTCCACAGTAAGGCAACGAATGAGAATCGAGGCCAGTACTATAGTCAAAACTGGTATTAGGCTAATACCCCTGTAGTTAGAACAGTCTGTGCGACTGCCATTCTTGTATATTGCCACTAGAATCGATTCGCTCCAGTTAGCCGCGACACTCCAGATACGTTCGAATAGGGAGGTCAGTGCTTTGCAGAGGACCTTACCTCCATCCTTAAATAGTGCAAGTGGGAGGGAATCCTAGCCAGCGGCACGAAAACGATTGAGAGTTATGATCGCGTTTCGGACCTCAGCCTCCGACGGAGGCTCTAAACTAAACGTCCACGGCTCGTCCTGCATCACCTGAGTAGGAAAAGGTCCGGGAGCAGGGAGCCAGCTAAACTGATCTTCAAAGTGTTCAGCCCAACGAGCAATACGGCGCTGCTTATTGTGTATCAGCGCACCTGCGCTGTCTGATTGTCTCACTGACGCCTGGTTTCCTGGGACCAGTGGTGCGAATCAACTGGAAGAGCTTGTGATAATTGCCTACTGCTCTAACTCCCTTCATTTCTTAAGCCTTTCGGGTCCACCAGGCTTCCTTGTCAGTACGTAGGCTCCGCTTTAGTTCGCGCCTGATAGCCCGTCTGGTCACATTGTGCTCAGAGCCAGCCGGGAGGTTTCATCTGGATTCCAACCGGTTCATCGACCTTTCAGTGACTGGTGCGGTGACGATTAATAGTGCTACAAGCAGAGGCTACTGTATGGTGGTTGAGATCCTATTCCGCTGAAGCTGTGTCATTATGAGAAGAGAGCGAAAGTTCGGTACGCAGTGAGTTTTGATAGGTTTGCCTGACCGAGAGCTGAGACAATTTCTCAGTTGCCAATCGGAGGAGACGCTTGGTGCGCCTCCTGGCAAAGTTCATGGAGAAACCACAGCGTACCAAGACATGACCAAAGTCCACGCAGGTATTCCAGTACGAAGGTCAATCCAAGATTGAACCACGTCATCTGTAACTTATGGCTATGTGGTCAATTTGGGTCCGTCGCTGACCAGCTACAGGTGGACGCCAAGTGGCACTTCGGCGCCCACTGTGTCTAAAAGCAGTGCTACCAAGAAACAACTGGTGCTCCGCACACAGTTGCAGCAGACGCTCAACGTTATCAGTTTGTTCGGAGTTAAGCCAATAATTACCACCCAGCTGAGCTTCTGAAGAGCTCAGATGCCCTACTTGTGCGTTCATATACCCTGCAAGTACTATAATATCTGAACTAGTAGCACTGCGCAGTAACACGTTCAGTTCGTGACGAAGTTGTCCTTGGCAAAATCAGAACTGTGGTCGGTGTGAGCATAAGCGGAAATCACAAACAAACAGCTCCATGCACCACTTCGTGAATCCAACTTAGCTGATGTCATCAAACGGGTTGCAAACAAACGGCGGTTCACTGGAATCCAATCAACCAACGATGGCTCAGCCTTGGAGTCTGACCCGTGAGTGCTGCATCGGCGTCTCCGGATGCGTGCAACCAATCACGATGGGATAAGTCAGGTGCAGTTAATTCAACAACCCCGTTAGGGTCATTGATCCTAGTTTCGGACACACACACACATCAATACCCAGTGTGTGCAAGGTGCCTGCGAGTGCAGCCTGTTGACCAATTTGTCTTAGAGTGCGAACGTTGCCATGGAAACGGGACGGCGTGGCCTTACATGGGACTGTTGCCGATAGGCCTCTACACCATTTCCCGGCCAAGTTGTCCTCTTGGGCAACAGAAATAACCCGACAGGGCATTTAACATGAGTCTACTCAATTAATTTGTTCCGTGCGTAAGAGCTGAGGCGTCCCACCTGCATCCCTATGACTTAGTGAGTCTGAGGTCCAATTGGCTGAAGGCGACGGGCTATACACGCACACCTGCACAAGTGACTGGCATACGCACGGAACAAATTAATTGAGTAGACTCATGTTGAACGCCACCTCAGATTACTTCTGTTGCCCAAGAGGACAACTTGGCCGGGAAATGGTATAGTGGGTGGTGCGGAAAGGTAGTTGCAGGTGGCTAAACTGCAGTGGCAGTACAGTTGCTGCCAATTAGGCTGGGAATTATAGAAGGTTGGTGCTAGACGTTGGGAGGGGAGTAAGAGAAACAGATGCAGAATAAAGAAGGGAGGCGCCAGCAGTAGCATGTTTTCGCTTATCCGCCCAGCTGTATGCAGCAGATAAGGCGACCCGTGATAATCTGCACGACGACCGACGCAGGATGTAGTTCGAGTTAGAGAATATTGTCATGGTTGTAAGTGGGCTCAGATACTGCTAGGGTGCATAGACCTAAACAGGAGGATGATTAGGGTTCTCATCCAAAGCATTTGGCTCAAAAGCCTGTCCGCAAGGCAGAGGGCAGGTGGCAATGATTTAGTTTTACAGCAATGGACGCCATCCCATTTCAAACCCCCAACCTGGAGGACCAAGAGGTTGAGTTTGTCTGACCTCGAACCAGTGACCGACCTGGTAGGAGTAGCTCTCAAGGGGCCTGGAGGCACCACTCAGCATAGCTCATTGGGTCAAGGTACGCAAACCGTCGCACCATGTAAAGGTCCAGTCTCGTTGCGACGGAACAGCTCCACAGAAAAGGATTGTGAAAGGTGGCCAAACGAAAAGGTTCCGTCCATGTGATTTTCCGGAGCCAACTGAACGAGCGTACGAAACGCTCATTGAGAAACTGAAACAAGCACCTAGGTGTGGTGACGTCCCAATACGCATAGTTGTAATCACCCCAGTGTCTATGCATATCAACTGCTGGGGAAAATAATCTCACCTATGTCGGTCAGCCTCTACAACGCGCATGTGTTCTTAGACCATAAGCTCTTCACCAAAGGATTAACTGACAAATTTATCCAGTGATGTTATCTCTGGTTAGAAATTACTAGTATTTTTCACCAATATTCCCTGGCAATAAGCCTTCGACATCATCGATGCTAAAATCATGCATGCTGTAGCTGAATACTCATCCGTTTCAAGAGTATAATACACAGTGTTGACGTACACCGGTTGAAAGCATTTCTTCACGAGTCGGCTAGTAAAAAAACCAGCATCACCTATCCGTACAGCCGTAATAAGTGGCAGTTCAAGCTCAGCGTTATGCTTCATATGAAGCTTCTATGCCCATGATTCGAGTCCCCGAGCACCCCTAAAGTCACTCAGCTAGCATACAACCATGGCGAATCATCGGCACCTTTTAGTGGTGATGCACGACCCATTAGTCTTCAAATGTGTCCTATGTCCCTGAGATTAGTAACACATACTTCTCATGAAGGCAAATGTAAATGCGACAACATTGTGCTGCTCAGAACAGTGTATCATGCAGGACAGTAAACGCAGAGGTATCAAGAGTAGAGAACTGAACTGTGGACATGAATGTAACTTCCTTGGCAAAACAACGCAGAGATGAGCGGGTTATACTGTGACAACCTGGGATGGAGCACCGAAATAAGGCATTTGCGAGATATCCATCTTTTTGGCATGCAGTGCTATGGGTTGTATGCCGTAACCCAAGCACGTATGGAGCATTCTAAAATCCGAAATAAAATTATCAACTGCCGTGGTAAGAGTTGTCAGCGGGGCCGGGTAGCCTAATCGCTAGTGTCTAATGGCAACTATCAGGATGTCGTGGGTTTGAGTCCAGATCACATTATCCCTACGTATATAGTACAAATAGGAACGAAACTGGTAGTGAGGGGTAGTACGGAGCAACAGGGTAGAGTAAACATTGCAGCTGATTGCCTGACTATGATGGAAAAGGTGGTGGGGGTGGTGGAAGTACCTGGGGGAAAAATATATGGCCAGCAGAATAGCTAGCTAGTACACTATGATATCACAGCCACGGTTGTGATATAAACTATGGTAAAACGAAAAGAGACTAGAATGTGAAAGGAATGAACAACAGACCGAAGAAGAACATAAGATGATAGATGTGGAAAAATTGGCCACGTGATTGAAACAACAATGAGGGAAATAGAAAGCAAACATTGTTGAGTTTTGGAGTACGTGCCGTGGGTCTGGATTGCGACATTCAATCTCGACTGGGACCACGGTTTATTTTGAAGCAAACCTATTCCACTTCGTTCCATATGACCACATACTAAATGGAAAGAGAAAGCATCCATTGTCAAGACAAACCGCTGAAGGTATATTTCTTCTGACACTGAAATAACAGAAAGGTTAGTAATTTCTGGTTATCATTCGTACATGTTCAGTCCGAGAACGCCTTGGTCGAATGAATGAAGTAAAGACGAGTGGCGTTATACAAAAACATCGGGAAGAACAAATGGTGCGCACACCGCGGTGACAAGTGGCAAAATGCAGTCGGAAGAAGGGCCACAGCAAAGAACAGCACGAGATGACACAGGTCCATTGTTGAATGGAATAAAACCATCACAAAGCCTTTTGACGAACGCGGCCGAAAGTGAAAACCAGAATCCGATCCACAAGCCACGAGACCGTGAAGTCAAATATCAATGCTTTGAAGAACACGAGACGAAGCTGCGAAACAAGAAGTGCAATAAAGCGATAGGAAGTAAAATCGATGAAAGAGATGTTTAGGTTGATAAATTCATGTCTTATGACCAGTAAGCAGCTGCAGTCGGGTGACAAACGGACGCGAAGAATATGCGGTATAAAGAGAAAATTGGTGGAACAATAGCACGGAAGCTGTAACAATGTGAGATAGATTGCAAGTTAAGATAAGCAGAATGCTGAGGAGTTCAGTTTCTAATAAAGTAACTTAATATGGAGTTGTCTTATAGTAGTCAAGAGGTCGGTGGGTAACTTGTTCCTCCACGCGACCCATAGAAAGGCGAAACGACCGTGGATCAGAACCAGAAACTCTTGTGTCTACGAGGTCTCACCTGGGGATCGAGAGGAATCAGCCGTAGTGGTTCAGCAAATGCACCGAAGGCTAGCAAAACCACACCACCAATGGCGACACCAAGTGATATAACAATCGGTCTGTTTTGGATCAATGGTTCCATGAAGGGGTAGCCTTTGTAATTCACAGCGATTGTAGAGACCTATAGAATGCAGATGAAAAAGTAAGGTAGCCAGATGCACTGGATAATCAGACAGCGATAAGCAAAGGACCAAGAGATATATCCCATGAAAGAGTAACGGACAAATGTTGAACGCACCGCCTCCATGCATTTTAAACAGAGAAGAGCTAGTCGAAACACGGTTTCCTGCTGGTCAACCTCGAGAACGTATGTCACGGGTTAATGGTTCCAACCAGAAGGTAACTACGAGTCATATAGACTATGGGCTGAGCAACATTGTGACCCACTGTTATGGAACTACTGTATCCGCACGAAGAGATCGAAGATTTGGTGTCAGAACCGGTAAGACAGCTTGGTAACCGAAATCGACAAGAACACTGGATATGATTTCGCAATGTAACGGTTGGTATGGAAGACATGAAAAATCAACTATGAAAGAGGCACAGTGAGTCAAGTAAGATGAGGAATGCATATGGCGGCATGAGATCCGGTGAAAACTGCAACTGAAACTAGTTGATGAACTTGACTAATGATGGTAGCAAGATCTCTAGTGAAGTTTGACCGAACAGGAAACTATGGCAGGTACAAAGTGCGATATTACCGTCTGACAAACATAAAGATCAAGCTGTGGGGAGTGTACCCCTCAGGGCAGTAACCAAACACCGTTAATACGAATACAGATAGGGAGACAATAGGTAGTCTGCATTACAATAGCTACAGCCATCTAGGAATTGACGCCAAGGAGATGGAGAAGAAAGGCGCATTGGTGGGGACCACGACAGTTGTAGAGCCAGTTCACATCCCTCCGACACGCATAGTGCTTAAGTGTAAGTGGATCCACGTATCAGTAGCCACCGATTGCAGCGAGCATCAAAGCAAGGTACATCAAGAGAACACACGAAGTGTGTGAACATTTGACATAAAAGAGCTTAGCGTCTGCCAATCACTCATGCAATGCTATGAGAAGGGCGCCACATGTTGCGCATGCCAGCATACCGACTCCCGCGACCTGCGTTCCTTGCGCGAACGGGGTGTGGATGGAAAAAGAGGAGGAGAGGTTAACCGGTGACTTTGTAAAGAGATATGAAGAGCCTCACTTCGAATATGGCGTCGGTTGGTGTCTCGACTGCAGGTCTTGGATCCGAAGGATGATGAACACGTCTAGTAGGATAGACTTGCTGACATTGCGAGGAGTCGGCTTCAATGGCATTTGTGTTGTGTTTCTTTGTCCCTCTTCGCCTCCAACAATCACCTCACACCTAGTGTGTAACATGATACTGAGCTGCAAATTACATTTTTGGTTTTCATATTGTATTCTGTAATGTTTTGCAGCTTGCTGCTTTCATATACCTCATGTTTTGTGTTTTGCGGGCATATTCGTTTCAGTGTTTCGCCTTCCTTCAGCTAACGTGTAATAATGCTGATCCACGGGATGGGTAACCAAACAAGACAAACCGTAGGAGAAGAACCGGCAAAATGCCGAAAGTGCACCGGAATGGGTACGTAAGACTTCAAAAAAGCACTGGTATCGTCAATCAAGTCAGTATAGCACAACGGAAACCGAATTTTTGAAATACCGCGTCAATCGGCAGCGCGAAGGGGCTACTGATGACACGCAGAGGCTTTCCTAGACAATAAACCTCCATTTGCTGCGTTTTGGCGCTGAACGTTAGGTTGGTGTGTATCACTTAGGTGGTATTAGCAGCGAGCGTCCCTTTCGTCGGTTGGCCGGCGCTATATTAAAAGTGTTATGGGGTTTTTTTGAACATGTCAGTGGCTATATCATTCGCGATTCGCAGAAACTGGGATGGTGCGCACGCCGGACGTAAGAGCAGTGCTTATTGCGTCGGACTACCTTTTCCCCAGAAGTGCTTGTGTGCCAGTTGGATTCGACCCGAAGGGAAGTAAGCAGTCTGCGTATTCCAAGCTTGAAACCCATACCGGATTGCTCTCCTCAATTAACCTTCATACCTGCCTGATAATGACGAGATTAAATCAATATAACTGGTTAAGCCATCAAGCTGCGGTTGCAATGACAACAACACAGGGACGGTGGATCAGGGTGTCGGACTCTCCGACGCATACTAACTTAAGGGGATAAAGACGAGAATTACAAGTAGTCTCTAACCCAACTCTGAGTAATGCGACGCACAAGTATACAAGTAATTTCCAGAAGAGATAGTTAACAGTGCCTCATCACCTATAATGGACGCTGCTCAAGTCTTATCAGCTTTCGGATGCCATTAAGTCACTTTGTGTCTTCCATCACAATAACTCATGCAGTTGCTACCGTTCTCAGTTTTAACATCTCAATGGAATCATCATCAAACCCATTTATCTCATTTGGATTTCAATTCAGATAAAGAAACCGAGAGGATATCTCATGTTGCTGTTCGCATGGGCTGTCGAAGGATAGTTCGCGACTGGTGAACTACAATCACAGTTTGTCTGAACCCGATGAGCAGTTAGCGGCATTGAACTAACAAGTATATTTAAAACGATGTAGCACATCGGGTGGGGGAGATATGCTTTGCAGTTTCACATGCCACTATGACTGAAAACAAAAGCAGGACGATTGTGCCCAACTTGGTTAGGAGCGGCTTGCGCTTCAGCCTCTTTGCACCCTGTGAGCAGGGCGAACAAGAAGGAATAGAGCCAGGAAGCACGTGGATGGGAAGCACAACTGTATCGGAATCGACCGAGACGCCAGCTACATGCACAACACCAATGAAAGATCTGAATAAACGCACATTCAAGTGGTACACAGTGCGGCGACTGGGTCGTAAAAGGAGGAGTCAGTGAACTGGGTGTTCTCACGTGAACCGCCCACTCAATCCATGGTAGAAATGTGTAGAAGTCTGTCGAAGCCATTAACCAAGTTAGCGGTATCAGACGGGCTAGCAGGTAACCTGCTAACACTTGGGTCAAGCGTGTGTTAACCTGCAAGTGCTTAACCCGACTGAAGTGACAAACACAACGCACACTTCATTAACCCCAGCAACGGAACCCATAGCAAGATGGTCACATCCCTGTGCCCCGGACGTAGATAATAGAATGTACCTACTGGATCCTTCAGAATCCCTGAAGTTTGTGAACAGAGAATATATTAGCAATCAAAAGCAGTTGGCCGGCTGACGTACGAGAAGTCAGAGAAGCGTGGGATCGGCAATAGTAATCGGTGAGAAGAATGAAGTGGGCGGACTCATGCGTAGTTAGTGACTTGTGAGCGCGATGCACCGGAAAAGCGAGTGAAACGGATGAACTGGAATAAGCACAAGTGAAGCGAAGAGGAACGATGTGTGCAACATTCGTCTACACATAGACCATCTGTGACAACTACAGTAGGTGCCAAGCTACATTAGATAAATTTGGCTATCAGTCGGTTCGGGCTATATTTTGCACCCTAGAAATGCAAAGTTCTCCAATACTGACAGGGACCCACACCTGCACTGATACTTTGCGGTGATCAGCTAGAAGTCGTTCAGAAATGCAAGTATATGAGCAAACATATTAGGGCCCTTGGGGTTGAAGATGAGATCACAAACCGTATAGCGAAAGCTCGGGGTGCTTTTGCCAAGCTCCGTCACATGTGGCGCAGACGGGACATCACTCTCGCTCTGAAGGGCAGGGTTTACAACGCAACTGTCCGTTCAACCCTCATGTATGGTTGCGAAACCTGGCCCATTAGATCAGCCGACATAAAGAGACTAGTCACGTTCGACCATTGTTGCATTCGAAGATTAACTCATGTCTCATGGGACACCGCGTGCGGATATAGCGTGTTCGGCGCCTCGTGTTTCATGCTGTAAGACAGAGTGAACTGCTCAGCAATGTTACATCACGCACCAGGCTCCGATGGTTAAACCACGTGTTGCGCACGCCAGCCCGCCGACTCCCGTATCCTGCGTGGTTTTTGCGCCCGGCTTCTGGATGGAGGAAGAGGGGAAGAGGCAGAGCGATGACTTGGTCAGGAGGAATAAAGTCCCTCACTTTGAACTTGTCATCGGTTGGTGTTTGTTGAACGCCTGGCTGGGGACCGAAGAATGATGAACCCGTATGGTTGGATACCCTAGCCGACATGGCAAACAGCCGAGTTCAATGGTGTTTGTGTTATGAGCCTCTTTGTCCCTCCCCTTCCCTACAGCCTACCCTTCCAAAGCCCATCAAAAAGGTGATATTAGCATTAGATTACTTTTTTATAGCTTTCAAGTCGACAATGCTTAAGGTTTTATATTCCGGTATTGCAGCACATTAGCCGAGATGCGTTCCTCACCCTCGACGAACGTGTATTTATACTGATGATGTGTGTCAATCCTCTGAGGAATACGATAAAGATGATGATGGGACAGACAGTTGGAGGTCGACTGGGTTGGAACTTTATGTTCGGGACCATTGAATTGTGAATTGCATGCCAGGAGTAGTTGTTCTTCTACACTATAAACATCCATAGGGGGTTCAAATATACCGTACAATCACACACATTCCACTGATTGAGCTGTGAGAACTGTTACACAAGCGCTGGTCAATGTTTTCCCACCTATGACCCGCCGTTATCTGATCGCCCAGAAAAGCTGGTTATAAGTGAAAAGGAAAACTGGCGACGAAGGCATAATGATGGCGTGTAGAAAATCCTGAACAAGTCAATTATGCACGCAAACAGAACAAATGAATGAAGTGCGACACAACGATGCATGACGTTTACACAGTGAGAGGAAAAGAGAAGATGAGGGGAAGTGGAAGCCCTCAAGGTTACGATGATAAGCGGTGGTTCTTTACGTTAGTCACTCTGTTAGAGCGCGTGCGAAGCAAGCATACTGCTAGTCACGCTGTTGAGTAGTAAAAGATCCAGCGCGGATTCACAGTAAAAAATAGTTTTGATTGATAACCGATGGACTGACGTGAGCCCAGTTCAACGTCTAACAGATGGGAAATGTAGAGTGAAAAGCGTGAAGTTTGACCCAACAAAAACAAACTTACTTGCATTCCCGTTGATATTAAATAAACAACGGTGTTGAGTATGGAAGGCTCGAAATCGGCATGAACATCAATATAGGCGTCTTCCCTGTGAAGCAACGAGGAAGTATACAGAGCAAAAACAGAACAGAACCCTACGCATGTGGTTGGTGAAAAGCTTTCAAAAAGTGTGCTAAGAGTAACAGTAGTGCGACGTAAATGAAACTAGAGGATTTCGAGTAAGTGTAATGAATTGCAACGTTAAGGAGGCAGCGATCCCGGAGAGCATCAAAGGTGCAGCCAGAGAGGCGGCAGTTGAAACAATCAAATCAAGAGAGCACCGAAAACACGATGAGAAACAGGCTGGTTGCAAACAGTTGCGAAGAAGCTGATTACGCACACATTACGCACAGATTACACATGAACAAACAATAACCCAAAAGTCAAAGGTGAATATATATATACATATGGTTGGCGGCATCCGGTCTGGGATTTGCCTGTCACTGTGGCCTGCCACAGGACGCCTGCGCCTACAGAGAGACCATGGGTGGCTTGCACTGCACCACCCACAGCTCCATCCACACACCCATATCCATTGTAAACCCGAAGGAATAAGACCGGGACGCATGTGGATGGGAGCCACGTTTCATCAACGGAGCCGAATCACACTCCTTCACAGGCAAACACAAGCACGCTGTATTTGGGGAATCAACCGCACACAAGGCGGTGGCTGGACCGTTGTCCGCTCCCCACTGTGCATGGAACCACTCCTCGAGCCTAGCACGGCCACAAGGACCTTGCACCCTGTCCCCTCCAGCAACAACCAACTGTCTCCTGGAGTCAGTATGGACGAGGTAGGCACCTTGACAACGTGCACATCAAGCGCAGCCACACCGGGGATATCACGCAACAGCCAATCACAAGACGAAACAAAGTAAATCGAATAATGTATACATATACGGTGGCATAAGTCTTCGCCAAATTAGCACGATGTAAGTTGGTTAGCGATAAATCCGCGATAAGTAAAATATGTCCACCAGTTACTTAAAAATGCTACAAACGCAACAAGGTTATCGAAGATAAGCGCAATTAGCGTGAGCAAAGTGGCCAGTTAATAGAAGATTCTTCAGGTAGGCAGAACAAATCAAATAAAGTGGAATGAAATTAATCCAGCTTAAAAAGACTTAGTTTAAGTGTAAATTGGTTTAGCACAACTGCGGTGAAGAAGCATCAAGAATGCAACAGCAGCCTCAGCATGGGGCAATATATATATATATATATATATATATATATATACGGTAGCGTAGTGTTCAGGACGTCAGCCGTGAACTACTAAGCCCTGTGTTCCACCCCAGCTCAGGCTATCGCCACCTGATAAGTTCCAACCAGGACGACACAGCGGTGGTAAGATGCCAATGTTGGGAGAAGCAACACCGAAATATTTCCATTTCGGATACCGTCCTCTCGATCGGAATGACCGAGGTTTACCTCAAAGTGAACTGAGGTCTCAATAGAGGTTGCCTGTCGCTGGCTCGTTTAAGAAGAGGAAGGCGCATGAACATCCTTATGCTCACAGTCAGAGACCGCATGGTCATGCTGACTGTGGCAACGAATAACCAAGTCATCTTTCACTCAATGATTACTATCGATGGCACCTGCAACGGTGCAAAGTTCTCGATGTATGTCGAGACAGTCGTGATGCGTATACGCTACAAAATGGAGATGAACGGTGCATGGTTGATCTTGAACAACGCCAGGATCCACATGCCGAATGATCTAACGCTAGTAGAACACATGTTTTGGAAGATAATTGTGTCGGCGAGACGCTTTCTTACCAAACCGACGCCTGACCAGTCGTTAAGCGCAGACATTCAAGACAGCGTTGGAATGATAATCCAGAAGGACTGCACACTTAATATGATGCTGAAGCTAACAAACGCAGCAGCTGGATAGACTTTCATCAACGGATCGTCTCTAACATTACTGCTTTGTTTCTTGTCAGTATGCCATTTTCATTTTAAAGTGGGCGCTTTTTAAACTAAAATGCGGGGGTTAGCATGTAGGATTAGGGCGTGTACGGAGAGGTTGAGCGCGGGCCCGCCAATTTGCAATTGTCATGGCACCGTTGACGCGGTCTAGCTCGTAGCGGCGCTTCTGGAGCGTAATTGTTAACCTTCTGAAGGTGTTGAAGACCGTAGACACTGAAAGGTGGAACCCGTTATCTCCCGACCGCTACTGCAGCTGCACTAAAGTGTCCTCTGAATACCTTTCAACAGTACAACGTGTTGCAGAATAGCAGGAGTCAGCTACTCGCCGTTGTTTCCTCCACATTTGCGGTGAGTATTGGTGTCCTCTTGTGTATGCATTGATGATGTTCCTCTTCGTAATCTCGTTGATATCAGTGACTTCAGCAGCTTCGTGGGTGATTTTTTCGTCGACGAATACAAGCTTGGTGAGGGACTTTTTCTGCGCCGATGACGTTCACTTGCACTGTCATCAGCATCATAATCAATACATGTTAGCCGAGGGTGAGAAACACACCTCAGCCGTAATACAAATAGGTAGGACATTAAGCAATACAGAAGTAAAATCTATGGAGAAAGGAACATAATGCTAATATCACATTTCTGATGGTTGTTGGCTGGTGAAGCGGACTAGGAGATACGTTCCCCTCTCATTCGTCGCTTATTTCAGTCGTCTCGTGCAGCACAAGGCCAATCAAGGTAGGCTGGGTCTGGTGGAGTCACAATAGTTTACACTGTTCCGTTAGTCGTGTAGTTGCATAGGTTCGTCCACATACCCATACAAAACAAGCCTATAGAGCGACAGAAGAAAATTGGATCACCGGTTTTGATCGAGGTGAAGGAGACCCATGATCAAGAGAAGGGTTTGCACAGTTTGGTTGTATTTGCGTGACCACAATGAGACCTGAATATCGTCCAGTCGCTTAATCCCCATTGTTTGGTATTTAAAAAATGGCAGCAGTAGGCCAATGAAGCTAGACCGGGTTTGGTGGAGACATGATAGTCTTAACTGTTCTAATAGTCGTGCGGCTGCATAGGTTCGCTCACACACCCACATCAAGTACGCGAATGTCTATAAAGGCAAAGACCAATCTGCGAACTCAAATGGGTATCGTGGTCCACATTGAGATTGCACGTCGCAATCCGTTCAAAAAACGAGTGCTTCAAAATGACCCTCCATAGCTAGGCAACATTTGTTTTTCATAACATACTACGCGATTCGGGACTCGTACAGCTACACAGGTTCATGCATATCGGCACAGGCACACAAACTACGCGAAAGCCGATGGGGAGAGAGAGGGGGGGAAACTTACTTACCACCTTTGGTCGAAGTGATCGAAGCTCACGATCGAAAGAAGCGTTTGCAGTGGCACCCACTGCGTACACAATTCGGTTGCATTAGCATGATTACAATGTAGTCTGAACATCGTCCAGTCGCCTATCTCCTTTTTTCTTGTTAACAAATGGCTAATTTACTGTTTAGAATGCAATACGTCCAATCATGATTGAAACATGTGCAATCAAGATTGATTTAATATGAAAATGATATATATCAGAAACATTGCCTTTTTGATTTGCTTAGTTCTGTCATTCTGCCGACCATTTACTGTCCAGCCTGCGTGTCTATTTGCTTTCATATTCTTTCGTATTTCAAGTGGGTGGGTTGATGTTGCATACATCCTGCGTCTTCAACGCAGTTCGGCCAAATGAACTTACACTTAGCTATCGAAAATCTGCTACCTCGATTGTACTGGCTCGAGGTGACGGTTTGTCGTTACTTGGGGAGACGGAGTGCAAGATCCTCGTGACGGTGGTAGGCTAAACGAGTTGTTCCATCCAGTGTGGAGCGGACTACGGCTCAATCACGTCTGGTACGCATGCCTTCCCACATAGACAGGAATGCTGCCGTTGCGTATGCTGAAAAATTTTGGTTGGTTCCGTTGGTGAAACGTAACTTTTATCCACATGCCTCCTCTTATTCCTTCGAGTTTATGCTGTGTGTGGGATGTGTGGGTAATGAGGCGCTAGCCACTTATGGTCCTTCTGTAGGCGCAGCCGTCCTGTGGCTGTTCCCATGGAGTCCGCAGTGAAATGTTAACTTGGAACCGGATGCCGCCAACTATAAGGCTCACTGGCTTACATTTTACCGTGAAATAGACAGTACTGGTGGCCTTCGATGAACTTGCAACCACTAAGGGTTGCTAACGTTAGGCAAATTTCTGTTAGTTCAGGCATTAATGTTTTCTGAGCGACTTTGGAACAGATCGCCAGGTGATCTCTCCTACGAGAACAACGTCATAATCATGTTCAGGTCGAGGTAGCTCCGAGGTTATTAAGAAATGCTGTTGCGCTCTCAAAGGACCTGATTGTGACCAGGAACTTATTCCACAAAGAAATATATCTAATAAGAAAGAAATTGAACCTCATATTTGTCCCGCACCTTGGTACGATGTCCCCACATTGAACTGTGCTACAATTCCAAGGTAGACAAATTACAAGAGGTTTTGGTGAGTCAGATTCTAAAGCATAATTAAACTATGCTTCAATCTGCGCAGTCAAAGCGTAACGATCCACACCACGCTCTGATGGCTTGGGCACGTGTTATGCGTGCCAGCCCACCGACTCCCGCAACGTGCGTTGTTTGCGCGCCGGGCGTGTGGATGGAAGGGGAGGAGGGATGGCCAAGCGATGACCTAGTCGAGAGGAATGAAATCCCTCACTTCGAAGCTGGCCTCAGTTGGAGAGTCTCGGCTCCCTGGTTGGAATCCGAAGGACGATAAACACGTTTCGCTGGATACACTTGTTGATATGGCTAGGAGCCGACCTCAATGGCGTTCGTGCTGTGAGTTTCTTTGTCCCAACCCATCCCTCTTAGCCTCCCCCTCCAATCACGAACTCATTATTTAGCAATTTATAATCTCGCATATCAAATTATTTTTTTCTGCTGCATAGTAGCCGGCAGATAGCTTACCGGAACGATGCCCACCCGTTACCGGTAGCTCAGCTGGCTTACACCTGTTGCATTTTATTGCTTTTCTTTTAGGTATTGCGGCACAGTAGCTGAGGTGTTTCCCACCTCTAGCTAACGTGTTTAGTGTGTATATGTGTGTGTGTGATCCGGGTTTGCTGGAACCGCCTTTAATAGTTTTTGATGGAATTTCGCCTAATAGAAGATTGATAAGCGACCTCCTTAGACTATATAGAGCTGAACTATCCTTTTCCATCAGGCCGTCACAAATTATGCTGCAATACTGCAGATTGGAAGAGTGTTGACTTTAAAAAGTTCCATGCTGGTTGAGATGGTGTGAATCTTAAGGGACATAACAGCCAAACGTTCTCTAGTCCGCGCTAGCTGGTGCTCGACATACTCACAGTCGCCTGTTTTCAGACTTAAGAATAAATATGATTATATGGTAGGTCATTGAACTCAGTGTTTTGACGATGCAGGTATCAGCACGCGGATTCTTCACATGAAAATTGGAAAGCGATCAGGCAACAGTGCTCCGGTGTATTCTTTTTCAAGCGCAGTCATCTGCAAGCGATTTAGGACATGTTTCGGGTCCTAGGTACTTCAGTTCTTACTGTTCTCATACTATGTCTGAACTATTAAAAACAATCGTATTTTCAATCTAACCATTCGTCCGTGCACTTCAGATGCGACGAGGGAGATAAACTGTCTTACTATTCACAATCAAAGTAAATGGTGTTTTTATGATGGGTTACTAAAGCAATCCAACGAATCCAAGCCATTTTTGAGTGGGCTAATGGTGGTCCTCCCTGGAAGTTTGGTTTCCAGGGGTTGAACTCATCAGCGAGTTCGGAAAGACCAGCATTTATAGCAGAGAAGGTATGTAGTCCTTTTTGGGTCTCACTTTTATTAAGCTTGTTCGAGTGATGTACGAAACACTGTTCTTTGTCTGTCCACTGAAGCTAGGCTTTTGGGACCATAGTAACTCGGGGTAAGCAAACTGGTGAGAAGGCTAAATGAAGGAGCTAGGAGAGATAGGTTTGGAAAAATACGATTGGTCACTTGGTTGTATTTTTAGAGACGATTCAGTCAATCCAAGAGTTGATCACAACTCAACTCAACGCGTTCGGCAACTCAACTCATGCCTTCAGCGTGATCAACTCACGCCTTGGGCATACCATCGAACGACCACTCTGGGGCTTCAGCAAACTACATTCAGCATTGTTATAGGGTACAGATGAAAGTGACTGACCAGTGGAAGTGCGAAGGACAAGACCCGGCCAGCTTGGGTGGTGAAAATTTAATGTAATTTCCCGTGTGGTATCGTATGGCTTGTTGCGAAAATCGACATCAGCAATGTCCACTTAAATTCCGTACTATCTACGACCAATAGATCGCGAGCTAGCGTGGTCAAAAGTGATAAATTTCTTGAAGCAGTGGCTATGTATTGCATCCACATGGCAACTGCTTAGGTGCTGTGAAGTTGGGGTTGTGCACAAATGATAACTTGATAGCTGCATGCAACAATACGCATCCGTAATTGGTGGTGATGTAGTTAGCCTGAGCCCGGAAAGTGGCTTGCTGTTCCTTGGTCTCAGGTGGTGGTGGTGGCGGTAAGGGCACTTGTGTTACTAGTATAAGGGTTTCGGTGGGTAACTTGACGAGTAAACCGGTTGTGGCTGACACTACGACAAGCACCGAATCAAAATGGCCCAGTAAACAACAATGTCTCAGTTAAGCAAGCACTTGAGCACTAAAATCACTCACAACAAACAATGTATCAGTATTTGTGTTACTAAGGTCGAAGTCTAAGAGATGACAATGTGAAGTGGCCTTCACGGAATCCAGTCATTGAGGGGCGTACACAGCAATATAAACGCCCTGAGTCTTCGGAAGCCCTCATTTAGCATTGAAATTGGTACAAAAATCGAACGAATAAGTACGGTAATTCACCAGAATTCATCTGTGTGTAGTAGCCACAACACTCAAGTATCGTAAGCAGCACTAGCCATCAAGTCATTTCACTCAGATACCTGTAGGACACAGTTATCCCGAAAAGAAACTGAGTGATGAGGGTGAAGATTCCGAGCGATGTTACTGTCGTTTGAGGACCATTCTGGTACATATTACACAGATGAGACCTAGCTAGTGATGAGTGAGTGCCAACTATTGGCCGTTCTGACTTAGATTAAGGACAATAAAAGATCTGATGCCGAGCGAGATCACTGGTGTAGTTAGGATCAGAGCTGGCACCTTACTGGTTGAATCTAGAAGAAAGATTAGGAACGGAGGAGAAATGGATGCGAGTACGAGAATACTATTGATCGCATTAGATGGGTAGAACATACTTACAGGTTGATCAATGCGCGAGAAAGTTGATTTAAAGGTGTGCTCCGCATAAAAAGCAGTACGAGATGGGAGTGCGAGTGCACAGTTCAACGATGTCAGTGAAGCACAGCTATTGGGAGTTTAAAGAAACCTGCGTAAGTCTATCGACCGTAGAAGATGGGATAGCTGCGACAATGGCTAGCCGTAGATTATATGGCATGGATCTTAGTGTCCGAGGTCATCTAGTTTCAGACGAATGACAACAAAACAAGAAACATTGATCGTGTCCCCTCAAGAGAGATGATTCGTGGAGCTCACAGTAGGATAATCGAACCCCCGTTCATCTTCCTGATGTGAGGTAGACGGTGAAACTGACTCCCAACCAGTGATATGCATGGAGTTGAAAGAATTTAAAAAGCGTCACTCAGCGTAGCTTGATGGATCAGATCAGGCAGGGACCCATGCTATACTGTAATGTCTAGGTGCAATCCCATTGATGTGATCGGTGCTATGAACGAGGAACATAAGACACAGAAGATAGAGGATACTTACTTGACAGGCATGCGAACCTCAGCTTCTTGTGTCAGGGTGTACAGGACGGAGAAATGCACAAGAAACTGTAGTGTGACAGTAAGGAGAGTGTACACATTGAAAATATTTGGCATGGGACGTTCACGTGAAAGGACTTTCAATGGCTGGAAGTAAAAGAGGAAACAACCGGTAATCAGCAATCCTCAACCTCTCAAATATATTGGAAAAACAAACTCGATGTCCATGGATAGGAAAGATAGCGATGAACGGATCGAACAAAACCCCAATTCAGTCCGAGTGCCAAACGCATAGCACTTGACATAGAATCAAAAAGGTCATGAGTGATGCGTTTCATTTGTGGCAAATAGTTGAAAAACAAAGACAAATGGTATCGATAAAGAGAGACTTCATATTCTCTACTCCGTATACGAACAAGTGACTTATAGTCTCACATTAGCGAAATGAATGGTAACAAGTGAAAGGAAGTGTAGAAAGCAGGTGGTACACAGTGAAGTGGCCACCGTTACCATCGTCCCCGCAAGTGCATTTGCACACTTCGTTCTCACCTTTGATCTGGAAATGAAAAGGAATGAAGCGGAGAGCAAGATGGCCTGAATGGAGGCTTGTGCGTCTGAGGTTTTGAAACCTTTGAGGAAGAGAACAGAAAAACTGTACGCTGATACTAGAGCATTGATTGCGAGAATTTTGTACATTTGGAGAGTTGTGACGAGCGTGCAGCGCCCCTGTTTGATGATTTGACAGACTGAAAAGTGAAAAAGGAGTGGCAAAGAAGGAATTTCAGATATCAGACTTAAACAACGAACCAATGGGATTTACGTCAGAATTGGTAACAGGAATGAAAGCGAGCATGTCAGTGGGCACAGATAAGTATCACAAACGATGACTGACCTCCCAAAGGAGAAGACATCTTGATGGTAAATGGAGCCGCAATACTTGCATCGCCCAAGCGGACTACAGTGGCATCTTGATCCGCTGCAGCAGCAATGGTGGAGGATGTCAAACGGGAGTTCATGATCGGTTTTCCGTCAGCGCGGTGGGATGCGTTGTTAGATTCATTAAAACGGTTGCGCGCGGTGGCAGAAGAATTGTTAACGGAAGCCGGTTGAGAAGCACTTGATAAGGCTAACGATTGGCGATCGGCACCATTGAGGAGTGCGACACCTAAGCAAATAGAGTAACGTCAGGCAAAAGTGCCAGTAAGAAGAGAGTATAGAGAGACTCGTTATGGATAAAACAGTAAAATTGCAATCCGTTCCGACAACATGATGTTGCACTAAATGGCAGTTCATGACGGAGGCGTACGCAATAGGACGCGTCCCCAGGTTGGGGATAAAGGAATCCCTTCTCTGGGGGGGGGTAACTGCGAATAAGCCCAGTTTGCTTTGCAGGCGAGATGGATAAGCAGTCGCGGACAATTAAGAGCAGCGTCTCAGATCGTAAGGAATTCTGGGCTGGTCACTTGGTTCACCATCGAATACTGCAAGCGCTCGTACGGCATATGGCAAAGCCAATATGGCCGGCAAGGTCACTGATTATTCACGTTTGCAACTAGAGGTTAGTAGCAAACGGAGAGTGGATAACAACCTTGCCGGCCAGTGTCTTCTGTGGAATATATATATATATATATATATATATATATATATATTATGTGCAGCTTATGTTGATCGACCTTTGTGTGCTACGCACATTATGCTAACTAATAACAGGTTGTTTACAGACAATGTGTCATCAGAACTATGGCAGAAAAAGAGAAGACTAGGCGACGGACATGATTTTGACAAAGCAAATGATGCGATCACAGCCAGGATCAAGGGGTTTGTCCGGGCGTGATAGCAGGAGACCAGCTCGGATGCTAGTGAAGTGAGAACGCTATGAATTTGTATGGCTCAGTAGGTGATGGACTGCAGTGGATAAGCTAACACAGTGACGTGAGAACAAGGATGGGAGGCCACTGACGGTCAGATAACTAAGAGCAAGTGATTCACCCAGGCCAGAAAGGAAAGAGAGGAGAAATGAGGGAACAATAGTATGTTTGGGTAGAAAAGCAAAGATATGGCGCAACGCGATGCAAATAATATAATACGGAGTTCGGGTAGAGAATTAAGCGACCTGACATAGCTTATGGAGGAGTGATAGGTCAAAGTGTACGTACCCACATGAGCATGTTTCAAGGCCCCGACATCATTCGTGCCGTCGCCGCACATCAAGGTCACGTAACCCAATTGTTTCAGTTGAATTAGTATGTTTTCTTTTTGCTTCGGTATCACGCGGGCGTGAATTTTGGCCTTGGAGATCAAGTGAACTAACAGGTCGGGGGACGAAGACGATAGGGCCTCGATCCCATCTCCGGTCAAGCAGAGATCGTAGGTCTTGGTTAGAACCTTGACGGCCGAGTGAATAGATTGTGTCGCAGATGGGAAAGCAGGTAAAACCACTGAATCATCCACCGATTGCCAATGCCACTGATTTGCTATAGTAAAGAAAAAGAAGAGTTCCGTAGGAAAACTTCAGCCTAGGTAACGCAAGCAGTTCACGAATAAATGTTTAGAGTAACCGCTCATTGTCCCTAATTTTTTGAAGTGTCATACTCGGTCGGCAAGCTAGCGACCGGAATTGCTAAACTGCGAACTGTTTCCAACAAATTAATTACGTTATTACAAGTTTCCTCAAACTCCTATCCATGATAAACAAACACCGTTTCAATAACCTCAACAACGTGCCGACTTGGGTGGAAGATCTCGACGCATGGATCAGTTGGGAGATGGTGTCAGCAAACTGATTGCAAGCTTTCTTAAGCCAGAGGCTACAAAGCGAAGCTGCTAATTTTCAATGCTCGAATGCTCATGCAGACCGGATCCCAGACCGTTATTTTCGCACTATGGAAACCCTCATCATTTGATATGCCATAAGTCAATGAGCGCGGAGTAAAGAAATTCAGCGTGAGGCTATGCCAATTTTTTACTGTCTGCAACTTCTGCTGACACATTTGTATCATGCTAAAACAAAAAGTTATGCGGGCGCAGAGGTTGTGCTGAACGCTAAGACAGTGACAGCAGTACTCCAACGGACACCAGTCGATGGTTGGCTCCTAGGCACTGCGACTGTTCAGTCACGGGGGCTGTAGATGTTGTTTATTCGCTGCAGCTGCGCATGCTCGCTGACGTTCTCTGCAAACACGGCAGCATGGAGATCGTGGTGCTTACCGGAGAAGTAAACGCGTTGACCGATAGACCATCATCATCATCATCATCATTATACATGTCACTTAGAGGTGGTAAAACACCTCCGCTATTGTACCGCAATACATAAACGAAATACATACATACATACATAAAAAATAAATATGACAGTTGCATGCCAGCTGAGCTACAAGCGATGAAATGACGGTACGACAATAAAACTGGGAATCGAGTAAATGGGGTATGGGCTATTATGAGCCCGTCAAAATATTTCAACTACCTGTCGGTTTACACTTCAGGAGTAACTAAGACTGAAGGTACATAAATAAAAAGCGCGTTAGATGAGAGTACCGGCATAGGGTAGTGTGTACAAACCATAAGAGCGACCTTATACGTGTCTGCTTTGAATTACAGCAAGTATCAAGGTCATGAAGAAAGTTCAACTAGCCACATGTGTCCGCTTTCCTGCTCAGGACGCGAAGAACATGCAAGGACAATGTAGCAGTTATTTAATTAAGCCAGAATAGTAATCGTAGGGATGGCGGTGGTTTGAAAAGAACTCGAAAGTTTAGACTGGCTGAAAAACACACACGGAATCAAAAGTAAGACATGAAATGCACAATTACAGCGAATAAGAAAATACGACAATGTAATCGTAGACACACTCTACAGTTGGCAATTGTTTATTTTAAGTGTGAACCTACAAAGTGTGTTTGGAGGAGTCAATACCAAGACGGGCGTGTCAGTTCGAACTAGCTCCAGTACGGTGCTCACGTGGCAGGCAGTGAGAGGATTGTCTCCAGTAATCATGGTGACATGGTGGCTCGATTCGCGCAGTTGCTTCAGGACATCCTTCGAGTCTGGTTTGAGCGGACACGATATCAATACAAAACCACAAAAATTCAGTGTACACTCAACTTCCTCCCGCGTCAAGTCACGAATCTAAAGATAGAAGACGATCACAAAGTATAGAGTTAGACATAGCTAACACTAAGATGAAATGAACTTTCAATGTAAATTAGCGAAACTAAGGTGTCACACAGGTACGATGAACTTCAAAGACACAGTGACGCTGTCCATCAATCCTTGATTTGGGGCATCAGTTCATATCTCTAAAGAAAAGGAGCCAGTGGGTCATCTGAATAGAAGGGAAGCCCTAGAGTTAGGGTATAATGTTCAGGAAAGTGATGAAATTGGCGATGAAAGCAATAGTAGCACCAGAAGACGAATATCTAAGACTTACTTGCTGATGGGTGAGCTGTCCAAGCGGTTTTTGGGCCAGTGCAAGCACCCGAGCTCCACGTCTAGCCATGGTAAGGTAGGCTTCATTGTAGTCGAGGGGAGCATCAACCAGCATGGGCAGGATTGCCTCCGGAGAGCCTTTAACACATGCTAGGTAGGTCTGCTCTGCACCCGACGGCAGCTGATGGCTGACGATAACCGACATTCGTCTCAGAGTGCTGCTGAATCGGAACCTGGAGTATTTAGGGTAGTGACAGTAAATTCTTTGTAATTTCAGCTACTTTCGAGAGACAAGTAGCACAAATCATTCTAATCAGAAAATGTAGGTAAAAGTGCTCTGAGCAAGCCGCATTCGGGCTTACCGTTGGCAGATTCTAAGCGGTGGACTCCGAGGGATCGTCCGTCCGGATACGGTGTTATCGTTATTCAAAAACCATCCCGTAGATGATAGCATGGCTTTCTCCAGTGGATCACCGAGGACACCGGAAGGTGTGTGCATCAACGAATGACAACTGGCCAGAACCTGAACGGTCGGTAGAGGGCATCGATTCACCGGGATGAGCTTGTTGGCAGGTTGATCATTCATCCCGGTGACTCCTTCGACAACAACACTGTCCTCGGTGAGGGTTCCAGTTTTGTCGAATGCACAAATATCCACCTTGCCAGCAAATGGGATACGGAAAGGCTCCGTGCAATAAACAACTAAAACATGGAAGGTAAAACCGTTTTGACGCTCAAAAGCTGAGACCAAACAAGAAATGGCTGCGTAAGGAAGAATGAGGAAATACCGACTAAGCGGCACGGCAGTCAGTCGCCTTGTAACTAATTGTGACTGGTGATAATAAATGGGGAATGAGAATAGAAACGTGAAAAGATAGGAAATGCTGAAGCGATAATCGTCAAGACATGTGAGCAGAAAGTGATAATCGTTGAGTTGGCTATTTTTTGGGCACCAATCGGCAGATGACGCGTGAGGAGTGAGTTAGATTGCTGAAAAATACCTTATAGTTGGGGCCATGTTGAACCCTTATGTTGCCTGAAAAGCAACAGTAATGCTTGGTACGAGCATCCAGAAAGAGTCAAGCAAGTGGTATAGAAAATCCTGGACTTGCTCAGAATGATTTGAGTGGGCAACAAGAGGCGATATGAGTTGTTCATCTTAGTAAAATACACAACGCGTACGTACACTTGCGAACCCAGAGAGACTTCTGTACACAAAATGGCGCTGTCAGTGCCATGTGTTCCTCTGCTTCATGGGCTATAGAAGATTTCGCTCTTCAAGTTTACCTTTGATTTGGTCAGTCAATCGAAGAACATTTGACATTTTTTCAGACTTAAGATAGTGCTTCGCGGCCGCACTCTATGACAAACCGAACAACCGGCAGCACTTGCGCTGACTGATGCGTATCGTGCCACCGAGACAATCTCTTAAGACTGTAATGCTCAGAAGTAGTCGAAAGTACGGAGGTAGGAGTACCTAGGGTTAGAAAGCCTATGGGCATGACAAAAACGTGATAGTACTGAATGTATGGCTGACTGCGCTAATAGTGTCGAGGTCGCATAGGGCATAGGTGCAGAGACAAACTCTAGGCAAATAGTAGTTACAAAACTATAGTGCGGTAAACGTTACGGGGCTGCCACACAGTAACTTGATATCTTAACAGAGCAAGAACAACGAATATTTCTGCGGAGAAACCTGAATTCAGTATATTTCGTGCATTCTCTTCAGCCGTTTACATATAATGGGTGAAAAGTTCAAACGGTTGGGGGTAATAGGTCAATACCAGAAATCGATGGTTAGTTGCGTTGGGTAACCCGTCATGACTCACCAAGGCAAAGCAAGATTGGTCCCAAACTCAAGTTGTTTACAGTTAGGCTTCAAACGCCGGATGGCGGAGGCGTCAGCAAAACGCAACAACTTGGGGTTGCTCTGGTTGTTGATGACCTTGAATGCTTCGCGGGGATTCTGACACATCGAGCAGTCGAATAAGTGCCTGGCAACCGAGCTGGCAGGTGATGTTGCACCACGAAGAGCAAGGTGCCGCGGCACGTGTTCTGAAATCCGAGTGGACAACCTACTCTCTGTCCGGCCAATGTATATGCTACTGCAAATACAGTTAAGCAGATAAACACATGAGGCGGTGACAGCAGAGTGAGGTCTGCCCAAATTTGATTCATGTAGTAGCTTTTTGGTTCTGTGGAGCACCACAATCTCATGACGTAATCGATAGCAAAAACATCTGTCATTTTCTTCCACTTTGTAAGGAAGTGCATAAATATCGGCCCGTAGCCTAGTGGTAACGAGCTTGTCGTTTAACCTTGCAACGCAGGTTCAAATACGCGTAAGGGTGGGCGTCATCGCGGTATACTCAGCCCGCGTGCGACTGGTGGTGGTCGCATGGCAGCGAAGCGCCGTTACGGCGTACAGCTGACATTATTCTTTACTATTATTCGTTGAAGCATCAGTTAAGTCTTCGGGCGGCCTGGTTTTCTCCCCATACCTTGCAAATGAACTTGTCAGGGTACCCGTTTTCATGTAGAGTAGATAAGATGCCCTGTAGTTCTTCCGCAATCGTTTCCTCTAAACAGATACGGCGGGCTCTCACAAAAGATGAACGAAATAGACAGCGCTTGTAGCTCATGGGGCAGTAGCTGTCGAAGTTTAGGTGTTGCTCCGTCAAGCCCAACAACGGCAGAGACGACGACGGCGACAACAACAACAGTACAGCAGCCACAGCTTCGCTGCTACACAACTGTGATGACCTGCGAAATAAAGAATAATAAGAGGGACAGAAGGGGAACTTATCTGAAAACCTTAACGCCATAAGCAAACATTCGGGGTCAATGCGCCTACACCTGAAGTAGACAAGATACCGTCACAAACAGCGGACTATAGTGCAAAGATAAAGCGGCATCAGCGAGATAGCTACCTTGCGGATTTCACCATCAGAATCAGCCATTAGCCCGCAGATAACTCAGCACCAAACACACTTTAAACAGTCAATCCGATTAGGGGACGGCAGCACACGCGTCACTAGTGTCGACTGCGAGCCAGTTCCTGTAAAGTCTCGAGCCAAGCACAAGGCGAGTCACGTGGACTCCAGCCCGGAAGGCGAGACGGACCAACGGCACCCAGTTTGGTCGTCAGTGACTTCATTTCCCGTTGTCAAGTCAACACACAACACAAGTCAACACACAACACAAATTCTGTCCACCTCGAGCCTTGTGCCATCCTACACCTGGTAGACTGAACAAGGCCCTCCTAGGAAGCGGTGACCAGGCATACATAGCACGTGCCCAAGCCAACGCAACTTATTCAGTGCTATCTGTTGTGCTAACGAGTGAGCATGGTCATCACTACCAAGCACTCGCTTACGCACATTATCGTTGCGGACACGCTGGTGTCATCCGACACCAGCAATGCTTCGCAGACAACGATGATCAAAGACTTGAAGGCACCTCAGATCTTCAGATCGAAGTGGGCAAGTCTTACTACCATAGAGCAGAACGGCCCTCACTGTGGCCTTATCTGCACGGCCTTTCAGACGAACGGAAACTCCCTTCTGTCACCAAAGATGCCGCAGGTTCAAGAAGACAGCTCTAGCCTTTGCAATGCGTGAACTGACGTCAGTTTCTATGCGCCCATCATTGCTGATGCAGCTGTCAAGATAAGTGAATTGATCAACCACCTCGAGTTTCTCGTTAGCAAGGGTCAAGTGGTCATAAAGTGGCTGGTGGTGCTGCAGTAACACTGTACTTTGAAGGTGCGAAGCGCATACCAAATAATGGGACCACACTAGACAGGCTATTATTCAGGGTTGATTGTGACGCCGCAACATCGTCGAAAAGCAAGAAGATATCGTCCGCATTACCAGAAGGCACTTCAACGCCTACATCGTGAGATTCCGCAAGGGAACACTCCATGATAGAATCCAAGATGAAATTGAACAAAAATGGGGAAATCGGACAATCCTGAGGAAGGCCACTTGTGATAGGAAAGCTATCCGATAGGCCACTGTAGACCCTGATGCGGCCTGTAGTGTTCGAGTATAGCGCAGGAAGGATGTTCACATACTTCGTGGGAACACCATTCCGCGAAAGTATTTCGAACAGAATCGATTGATCGACTGAATCGCACGCACACTTGAAGTCGAGGGACACAACTATTGTCGTGGCGCTGCTCTAGCACTTGACGCAGAGTTAATATTTGGTGTATACAGCCACGTCCTGGGCGGAAACCTGGCTGCTCTTCCCTAATCCGAGATTCCCGTTCCACAGTGAGACGACGAACGAGAATCCAGGCCAGCTTTTGTCACAACTGCATTAGGCTAATACCCCTGTAGTTAGAAGTCTGTGCGACTGCCCTTCTTGAATATTGCCCTAGAATCGATCCGCTCCAGTTAGCCGCGACACTCCAGATACGTTCGAATAGGGAGGTCAGTGCTTTGCAGAGGACCTCACCTCCATCCTTAAATAGTGCAATTGGGAGGGAATCCGGGCCAGCGGCATGAAAACGATTAAGAGTTGTGATCGCGTTTCGGACCTCGGCCTCCGACGGAGGCTCTAGCCTAACCGTTCATGGCTCGTCCTGCATCACCTGAGTAGGAAGAAGTACGGGAGCAAGGTGCCAGCTGAACTGATCCTGAAAGTGTTCCGCCCAATGAGTCATACGGTGCTCCTTAATGGGAATCAGTGCAACCGCGCTATATGATTGTCTCACCGACGCCTGGTTTCCTGAGACCAGTGGTGCGGATCAGCTGGAAGAGCTTGCGGTAATTGCCTAATGCTCCTGCCTCCTCCATTTCTTGAGCCGTACTGATCCACCAGGCTTCCTTGTTAGTATGTAGGCTCCGCTTTAGTTCGCGCCTAATAGCCCGTCTGGTCACATTGTAATCAGAGCCAGCCGGAAGGTTTGTTCTACATTCCGACAGGTTCACCGACCTCTCGAATATCCAGTGGCTGGTGCGGTGACTATTGACGGTGCCACAAGCAGATGTTCCTGCGTCATGCCTGGCGGTCGAGATCCTATGCCACAGACCCTCAGTGTCATTAGAACAAGATAGCGAAAGTTCGGTACGCAGTGCGTCTTGATAGGCTTTCCTAACCGAGGACTGAGACAATTTCTCAGTTCGGAAGACACATGCATTTCGTATCGTCTCATCAGTGCCGATAACGATAACCGGTAATTTTATATAACAGTTTGTAGGTACAGACATCCATATAAACAAACTCGAGAACAAGGATGTCTTTCGTCTACAACCAGGGCAGCCTGAGGCTGATCGATAATTGTTTTTGAATACAAAGCACTGGCCTAATCCGACTAATGGCAATCGCCTCGGCAAGCCGGAGGAGCCGGGAATTAGTATGGCGAAGCACGGTTCTGAACGCCTTGTTGACCTCAATTCGGTGACCTGTTGTCAATAAGTGCCTGCCGATCGAAGATGCTGGCGGTCTGCGTGCACACGTAGTCTAATTTGGGCTTGCTTGCTGACTAAGCCCGCATTGAACCCATTTTGGTACGTGCTATACTAAAGGAAACTCAGCCTATTGGCGCCAACTCCCATTGAGTATATCAATTCGTATGTAACTGCGGGGATAGTTACATAGGCAGAACCAATAGAACACTGAGTTCCCGAATAAAGGAGCACGTACCAAAATGGATTCAATGCGGGCTTAGTCAGCAAGCAAGCCCAAATCAGACT